GGTTGAGAATGGAATATGGGTGTGTGTGTGGGTGTGGGTGTGGGTGTTGGTGTTGGTGTTGGTGTTGGTGTTGGTGTGAGTGTGGATATAAGGAAAGACCACTTAAATTCACACCCACACCCACACCCACCCTCAAGATTGGTATTTGATGACATATCTTATAGTTATGATCGAGATTATTATCAAAAAATACACTCAAAATATGGTACTCTTGCTTTCAGCCCCACTGTCTATGCAGGCGGCGTATAGACCTGACATTGATGGTTTGCGAGCGATTGCCGTTAGTTCAGTGATAGCATTTTGCATCTTTCCGCCTCATCTTACCGATAGCTTTGTTGGAGTAGATATGTTTGTTGTTATTTCCGGTTACTTAAGGCTTCTCCACCTTCGAAAACTCGATTTTCGTCAAAAAAATGGATTTTGAAATAAAAACAGGCATGATGCCTGAGTGGGCTACTTTAAAAATCCGTAAAAAATATATTGAGTCTCAAACGTTTTTCGGAGAACTTTGTAAAAAAACTTCTTGAGGGTGGGTGTCGGTGTGAACTTAAGTCGTCTTTCCTTATATCCACACTCACACCCACACCCTCAAGATTATAAATAAATTTATATCTAAAAATGTCAATAGTATAAAATCAAGTTAAAGAAATATTGATATTTGTGCCAAGAGAATAGATGGACATCGTTTCCAATAACCCCCCCCCCTACTTTACCACTTTTATCTTTCTCTTGCTTTGCGTATTTGATATAGTCAGTCTCAACACAAACACTTCGGATGAAGGTGGACTCAACCTGGTGATACAATTATTCTGAATTGTTTTGGAGGACTCGAAGAAGGAATAGAGTCTGAACCATAAGCTCAACAAAGTAGCAATAGGGATCATTTTTATTATTTTATTATTATTCTATTGTTGTTATATTTTACTTTTATTTATTCGACAAAAGATATTTATTCACAAGTAACGCTCGCTCGAGGACTCGCTTACTCTGTAAAAAAAACATCGAATACTGAAGCTTAAAAGGTTCTAGATTTCGGTACCATTTTCAGAACCTTTTAAGGTTCAAACTAAATATGGTCTCATTTCTTACTCCCTTTCCCTGCATAAAAAAGGGTTCAAGCTGGAGGGAAAAAAGTTCCTTCATATACTGACGTCAACTCTATCGGTCCTATAAAGGTTTCGTTGGAAACCTAACTAATCACCATAATTCACCTAATCAATTTCTGATGAGCTACGTTATTTCAAAAAGCACTGTTTACAATTTTCTCCATCGTTCACTCAGTTAGATATCTTGCAAAACTGAGTGCTAATAACCATTCTAGCATATCAACCCAAAAATTCCCTGGTAGCTATTAGAATGCTCCCATCTAACAGTTAATAAATTGACACCATGAAGCAGGAATAATTATCAATCGTCTGTTCTTAGCAACCTTAATGAGAACCATAGTTGGCACCTAGCATGAAATGGTATCATTCAACGCTTTATGACCATCAACCTAAAGAGAAAGAATAATAAAATAAATAATACCTGATCAATTAGTTATGAACTTACCATCAAATCGTTTGTTTAGCTTCCATCTAAATAAAATTAAAAAAACGTAATTATTAATTTAAGTAGTAGGTCTCACCATAAAACGCTCCATCAAAATCAATCTAAAGAAAAAGAATAAAAAACAAATAAATAATTGATGAATTAGTTATAAACTTACCCTTAAAATGTTTCTTTAGCTTCCGTCTAAATAAAATTTAAATAGAAAAGTAATAATAAATTTAAGAACTATCTCTTACCATTCAACACTTTGTCAACATCAACCTAAAGAAAAACAACACCAAAATAAATAAATAGTTGATCAGTTAGTTATAAACTTACCATCAAATCGTTTGTTTAGCTGCTATCTAAATAAGGACAAAAAAAAGAAAAGTAATCATTAATTTAAGTAGCATATCTTACCATCAAGCGCTTTATCAACATCAACCTATAGGAAGAGAATAACAAAATAAAAAA